ATAAAGACAGTCAGTAAACCAATTTTATAACTCTTTCCATTGCTATTTTGGTAATGCAGAGAGTGATTTTAGCCATTCTGGAGCCATCCTTAGGAAATGTCAAATAAATGACAACCTTTACTTCAGGAGAGTGAGATTGGATGTGTGTGTAATTAAATCTATTGCAAACAACACTCCAAAAATAATTTATTTTGTGCAAAGGATGTCTTATCATGTTACACACTTGCCAAGGCTAACAGAATAAAAATATGAATGGATATGATTGGCTTAGCATTTCAAAATCAGAAAGAGGTTGTGGATATTAAAGGAAGAGTTTTGAATCGAAACTTTGCTTTTTGTATTCAAGACACACTTGTTTACCGTGGTGCTTGAACTGCTTCAACAATGATAGGTCTTCTTGTTGATTGGCTGCTTTACTCTTCACCTCTTCTCATTTTACCAATTAATATTATGGTGTGGGGAAAGAAAGAAAGAAACAAGAACAGATTCTTTCCTTCCCTTCTAACTTTAGAAGTGTTAACCTTACTGGATTCCATGAAACAATATAAAAACACTACGTCACAAAGCGTAGGAAGACCACACATGTATTTTTTTTTCTGGTAGAATACAAGCATGTTGGTGTGTTTTTATATTATTTTTTGTTAGAATAGACTTAAATACATATTTTAAGAGTCAGATAAGTTATTACCCTTAAGAAAAAACACTACCACCCTCAGTGGGAAGCGGGAAGCTTCTTATGGGATTTAGCATAGACGTTGATGCCTTCAGGTAGTGTTTCTGTGTTGGAACAGAAGAGCTTTGAGTTACATTTTGTGTAACCTGTGCAACTCCGGTGAGCACTTCCATTATAAAAGCCAGTGGAATTATGTATGAATTATACGTGAGTGGAATGTGTTCAAGACCATGGACCAACCAAGCAGCATCCTCTCCACACTGACAGGGGTAGGGAACCCCAGTTGGGGGTGGGGGGTGACTGCAGTTAATGGGCACATTAATTCGTAATGCCCATAGAAGACAAGCTGATGATTGGGTGGAAAATATGTGTTATGAGCATCATCATGCACTCTAAGGAAAAAGCTGAAAAATGCCACAAAGAAAATGGACCACAAAGGGAAGGAAACAAACAAGCAAGAACTGGGAAGCATGGGAATGTCACATGGTGTAAGGAAGCCTGCATTTTCAAATACATAAATAAAGTTAATGCATGTAAACAATAGTATTCGGTCTATTCTAACAGATTTAACAATTTTATATACTGTACCACAGCAAAACTCTCTGAGTAGTTTTCTTGTACAGTTTCATATGGTAGAGAGAAATTTAACTAAGGACCAAATATCTGAAGCTGCCCTCAAAAAATTACTCTGACTGATTATCAAATTTTAGAAAAAAAAAAGAATTTGTTACCACTTCATCTACTAATACTTACTGAATTCTTCTTACAGTTATGGTAAGCAGAGCTTCCTAAGAGATTTCCCACAGTCCTGCCTGAACATCTCATTAGTCATTGTTATATTTAGTTTTGGAGTACAATTGAGCATACTGAAAACAATACATTTGTAGCATCATGTATTACATGTAGAACATTTTTGCTCTTGTTTTGAGAAAACCCCATCTTCGTTTTCTGCTTTTCTGTTTTACAATTCAGAAATCCACCTCCAGCTGTTATCTGAATTTTTAGTTGGTACAACAAATAAATCTCATTTAGAGGACACGATCACCTCCATACACTTTTGAAGATATTCAGACACTTACATCCTCTCCCACAGTTCATTTGGAATTATTATTATTTTAATATTCATTTCTACTTCACAGCTGGACAATAAAGTCTAATGCTGCCTTTCCCAACCTGGTGATCTCTAGCTGTTCTGCATTACAGTTCCCAACATTCCTGAACATTGGTCCTGTTGTCTTGGGCTGATGAGAACAGAAATGCATAACAGGGTGGCAAGTTCTAGATTGAGGAAGTCTGGATTAATGCATTGATTGAATTAATGCATCATTGACTGCAAATATCAGAGTGTGAAGAAGATATTTGGAGAGTGAAGGTTTTAAATGGGTTTCTGCAATAGGATTCAGGCAGAAGGAAGAATTCATGAGAAATGGCACTGGTGTTTTGGCTGTAATTTACATTTAGACTGCTATATGCAATCCCAGCCTACATCATAAATTTTTAAAATTCTTGCTCCAGTTCATGTGTGTCATTAACTTCTGCTGGTAATGCTGTAAGTTAGCCTGTTTGTTTGTTAGTTATATAGCTCATCTTTCCCCCATTGTGGAACTCAAAGTGTCTATACGTGGTTCTCAGCTGGTCTCCCCTCCCAGCCCTGGCTTGCCCCAGACCTGCTTAGTTTCAACATGTTGCATGCCTTAGGAACCTTCAGACCATACTCTAGGCCTATAGTTGGACAGTGTGGGAGGACAAAGGCCTATAGGAAAATGCTTTCACAATAGATTTCTAATGGTGTGTGTTGAGAGGAGGCTACCAACCCCCCAACCAAGCTCTGAAAATTTAGTTTGAATGTGGACAATAATAATTACATTTGAATGCACTGAGCTGAGAAGCTTTGAATTATACTTCATGACAAATCCAAAGCCTTAAGTGTGTTTTTGTAAGCCTGCACATTACTTTTAATAGTTCCCTCTTGGAACAGTATATTGCAATGTCTTTTAACTGAAGCTGATAAAAACTGTGTAGTCCTCAGAGAAGTCAGTTGTGAAATTGGGTTTGAATTCACCCTACTGATGGAGAAGGAAGCAAAGTCTGCCTACTAGAAGTGGTCTACTATTTAAAAATGTTCCTCACTTCAGTTTTCCAAAGGGTTAAAGAAGACTAGGCAAAGAAAGATGCACTGGGAAACTAAATCCAGCTTGTAGAACTAATAAGCCTTGAAAATCCCCTCTGTTCAAAGTTTCCACATTATCATTAGTAATGACGTTCAGCTAGTTATTGTATAAATAAATGCTTAGCTTGCTATTCCTCTATTAGCCCTCTCCCCCTTACACACACACACACACACACGAACAAACTCTTTGAACTGGATTTACAGATGCCAAGGAATGTTTAGTTTTCATGTCTAATTATTATCTCTGCATGGACAGAAATTTCAGATTGTGTATTAACATGGTGCTTATGTACCTCTAGCCACAGGCTTCTTCATCAGTGTTTGTCTGAGCTGATCATACTGGTCTATGGAGACCAACAGAAACTTATAGCAGAAGCTGATTTTACTTAAAAATAAAACGTTCATTCCAATATATTAAAAGTGTGGGTACACTAAAGTATAAGGTATGTCTTCCTACATACCCATGAAAGAAGTATACAGTGTTGTTTGATTCCATCTGCAGTTCAAACACATTCTGGGATTAAAAGAGAGAGCAAGAGAGAGAGAAAGTTTGTAACTTCTTTCTTCTTGCTTTCTTTTCAGATTTCCCTGCTCCTGCCCACCACAACCCCAAACTACACTTCAGTTGCTTGCAGAATTCTCATACATAATGAGGTTATGAACTAGAACAGCCTTTTCCCAACCTGGTGAACTTCAGATATTTCTGATGATAATTCCCAGATTTCTTAATCATCTGCCATACTGGCTGGGGCTGGTATGTCAAAATCCAAAATATCTGGAAGGCCCCAGGTTTAGGAAGATAGCAAGAGACCAATTCTTCTTGTAACTGTAGCTGAGGGTCTTACATGTTTTGCTAAGCAGAGGACATCCCTTCATATCAGTTCAAGGCAGTCTCTAGCCCATGGGTTACCCAACACAGAAAATTAAGCACCTTCTGTAAGCCCTGACCTCTTTCTGCCCAAGACTTTCCCCCTGGCCTGGGGAGACTAATTCCTGGAGGATTTTCAAGGAGATGCACCTACACTGCACTGGGGCCTGCAGGATCAGGCTTTGCAAGTGCTGACTGAGTCTCTTCTTTCCCTGCAAGCACCCCAATCAAGATATAAGCAAGGCGGGAAGGAGGCATTTCATTAGGCTGGTGCTCTCTCGAGTCAACTCCTTCAAGTGCCAGCCATGTCTTCTTCCAACTCAGTCAGAATCTGAGAGGAAAGTGGAGGAAAGTCACTAGATTAGGCTGAGTTTCTGTGAGCTGCAGCTGAGTTGCTTTCCATGCAAAGAAAAAAGTAGGTGTGGTGACCCTGAGGAAATGATGTGGTGGAGCTTAGGAAGAGCACCTCAGCCCTTTGACCAGCCAGCCAGCTACAATGCCAAAGGAGCTTTCCCACTTGCTCTATTTGAAGGGCTGTCCAGCCTGAGCAGGTAGATAAAGAAGCATCTGAAGGGAGAGCATGGGCCTGAATGTGCTTATCAGCAATTAACACCTGGATAATAGCCTGAGCATACAGATTCCCTGCATATAGTCTTCCTCACTGTGCTCAGATGTGCCGTAATATTTCAGTGGCTGTTCTTTCTGATTTGTATCTGGACTTAGAAATGAGGATATGTAAAAGTTATGCAGAAATGTATCCTCGTTGGCCCACCTTGTCTGGGGATGCATTTCTCTCTTCTTTTTTTTCCAATGCATAAGAGTTCACCCTACTGCAACTGCTTGTTTTTCCACACACGCTTTCTGCCCACTGGACTAGTCACTGGTTGGTCTGCTTGCTTCTTCTAGCAAGGGATTATCTCTTGACCAGAGGAAGGAAATGTCATTTCTCTATAATGTCTTGTTGCCCACAAGCTGTGAAGCAACAGGAAAGGAAAGAGGGTGGGAGCCCATCTAATGTGGGTATGTAGCATGAAAAGCAGGCTCTGTAGGTAATGTGGATCAAATAGTTTGTTAGAATTGTTTCATAATTTACACGTTCTGGATTTCCTTCCTTCATTCTTGCATAAAGCATACTGAATATACATTAGCCTTTTCTGGGTTGGCTTTGGGCATGGATAATTTCCCTGTGATGCTTTATTTCATCCCTGGGGAGAAACTAACCTGGGGGAAGACAACAAATAAATAACAGCTAGGTGAAAGTTTGTTTTGCCTCCCTATCTTTAAAACAGACAATAGCCATGGGGAGATGACTCAGCCGACACTGACAATCCAGACCCATCCCTATCGAAGCTGTGACCCAGTGGAAATGTCCTACCCCAGGGGACAGTTCCAGCCAGCAATCCGAGTGGCCGACTTGTTGCAGCACATCACTCAGATGAAACGGGGACAGGGCTATGGATTTAAAGAGGAGTATGAGGTGAGAGGAATGTTCACTCACTTGAATACTGAGATAAAGAATGACATGAAGGCTGTTGTCAAATCAGGATGAGTGCTCTGGAGAAACACCTCAACAGCTTACGAGGCTTCTGTTATATGCTAACTGTGATGCTTTCTCCCCATTTGCTCCTGACTCCTTGTCCTCTTTCCCTTATTTGTAGTGGCTTGTTATCCTACTTCTGAGGGCCTAAATGTTTGCCCCAAACCAGGAAGGTAGTAGAGCTCTTCTTTCCATATAAGTTCCACAATAGCTCCATATATAAAAAAAGAAAGTTGAAACTGGTCATTTCAGTGGAACTTGGCATAGCACAGAACATACATAGAACCCTAGATCAGGTTACAGTAGGACAAGCCACCAAAAGCTCTATGTGGAAAGCCTCCCCTCCCCACAGATTTTCAATTATTCTCTTTCAATTTGATAAAGACATTGCTTTTTGAAAGAACACTGCAGAGACATCCTCTGGACTTGTGTTCAGGTTTCTTATGCACACCTTACTTGGCCAAGGAAAGTATAAGATCTTGGGATTACAAAATGGCAACCTGCCTACCAACACAATTGCAGTGGCATCACTTCACTTAGATGGGTCTAAGATTTTCTTGGGGCCAGCATGTAATATACCTCATACAACTGTGAAAAGCTCCACTGAATAGAGGAGGTGAGATGATGCTTCTTGTAGGCATATACCAGGTTTGACTGCATACAGTAGGGGTTTTCAAGTCATAAGAACATGATAGAAGCCTGGCTGGATCAGGCCAGTGGTCCATCCAGTCCAGCTATTCATTCACATGATGGCAGAGCAGCTACCCCCAGGGTCCAACAAACAGGATGGGTACAAAAGTTCTGCCTACCCAAGCCCCTCGGTAACTGGTGTACGCAGGCATAGTGCCTTGTATAACAGAGGCAGAACATAGCCAACAAGGCTAGTAGCTTTGATAGCCTTCTATGCCCCAATAGCCTTGTACATCTTGACAGCATTCTATGTCATGAATTAATCCAAACCCCATTTAAAGCCATCCAGATTAGTGGCCATTGCTCATTGCAATGAATTCCATTTAACAAGGTGCTCTGTGAAGAAGTACTTTTTCATCTGTTCTGAATCCCCCACTACATAGCTTCATGAGGTGATTGTTTTTTCATAAATTATAGGAGAAAAATGTCTTCCTTTCCCACTTTCTCCACACTATCCATAACTTTAAATACTTCTATAATGACTCCCTTTGCTTGCCTTTTCTCTGAGGTTAACAATCCCAGTTGTTGTAGCAGTTCCTCATAAGGAAGTTGCTCCAACCCCTTGATCATCTTGGTTTCTCTTCTCTGCACTTTTTCCAGCTCAATAATACTCTTTTTCAGATAAGGCAACCAGAATGGTACACAACATTCTAAGTGTTGTCACACGAAGGATGTCTATAAGTGGAGTAGAATCTTGGCAATTTTATTTCCAGTTCCTTTCCTAAATGTGCCTAAAATGGAGTTTGCCATTTTCACAGCAGCTGTGCACTGGCTTGACATTTTCATCAAGCTGTCCACCCCAAGGTCTCTTTTTTGATCATGCAGAACCCTGTGGGACACCAATGGTTAAATCCCTCTATTGGGAAAAATTACAATTTATTACCATTCCCTGCATTTTAACCTTTAACTGGCTAATGATCCATAAGAGCTCCCCATTATTTTCCCTCTTGTCTTTGGGAAGGAATTTTGTCAAAACAGTGTCTACTAAATTGTCCCTGCTCACATGCTTACTGACACTTCCAAAGAACTCTATTAGGTTAGTGTGGCAGGGATTGCCTTTTATTCTTTTTCAGCAGGGCTTGTCCCTCTGTGTGCTTACTATTTCTGTCTTTAATACCTGCTTCAACCAATTTACCCAGAATAGACAACAATGATCTCCTCAAGTCACTTTTTGAAATTGGTGCTACATTGATCATTCTCCAGTGTTCTGGGTCAGAGGCTGATCTTAATGACATATTACATATGGACAACCATCTCCTATCCTGTTTCATCACTCTGAGTTCTCAGGTATGCCATGGAGCTATACCAGATCTACAAAGCGCTTGGTCCTTTCGGCTTTGACAAGAATAACGTATTATCTGGAAAACCTACAGAGCCCTCTGGAAACCAGCCAGATCCATTAGTTTCCAGGATTCCACATCCCTCCAGAGAGAAAAGGCCTCAGCAACCAATGATCAGACCATGACTAAGGGAATAAATCAACCTCATGCTCAGAGTACATTTCTCATATCCAGGTGAAAAGACTACATCCAGAGTATGCCCAACTATGTGCTAGGCTGATGACGTGCTGAGATAGTCTCATGGTTGTCATGAAGGCCACAAAATCCTTAGCCATCCCAAATAGGGTGCCTTCAGCATGCATGTTGAATCTGCTTGAACCAAAAGCACAGGGGACTCCAGCATCATATCTGGACAACCTCTGCTGGCTTGGGTAGGGAGACTGAGGGGTTGTAGAGCTGGCAGTACACCTGCAGAATCCCCAGTCTCCCACTCACCCAACATGAGGTGCAAACACTTCAAAGTAGTAGTCAGATGGACTGGACTCCAGGAGAGAAAGGCTGAATTCTTATAGACCACAACAACCGCTCTCCCCATATCCTCAGGTCCCGATGCTGAACCAAGTACCCTGGTGAGCATATCTGGAGGAAACTAGCACCTCCTGTTAACACAATGAGGTCTTGGTTATAGATGCCAGATCAACCACCTCATCCACTATTAAATCATGGATGAGGGAGGTCTTATTCTGCATTTTTTAAATATAGCATTTAAAAGCAGCATTCAGAGGCCTGAGGGCAGGCTGACATGGCAATCCTTAAATGTGTGGGTGCAAGGTGGACTGGCAGGTGGTACATCTGTTAGCTGCCTGGCTCAATTCCCCTTGCCTGGCCACTCCTTTTCCCTGTACTATGTGTACTTCTACCAATCACTGCACTTATAGGGTTTATTAGTCTCCCCACTTGGTCTCTCCTCCCAAGCACAATCCCAAGAATATACTGGCATACATCAACATTAGGAAATGCAAAGCAAGAGGCAAGTGAGGGGGAAATAAAAAGGCATCCTCACACTTGTGGCATCCTGAAGGACAAACCAAGCAGATGTGCCCCCTTTGGGGTTGGCCTTATATGTCCCCCGGAGGCTGCTGAATTGCCAAGGGCCAGGGGGTCCACTCTGCACTGATGTGCTCAGCAAATAATGCTGAAAGGGTGGTGCCAGTGGTAGGGATTTGCCAGAGTCATTAAAGCAGCAAGCAGTCCACTTCCCAACACTCCCCAAACCTCCTCATCAGTTTCATGGGTGCAGAGTATCCAGGCCAGAGCCTTCTGTTTGTTGGACTACCAAGAGTTTATTAACTCCATAGCCTCTGAACCAGTTTCTGTATGTTCAGAAGCCTTCATGTGTTTGTAGTAGCCACACAGTCCTCTAAGATAGGAGAAACCACTGCTAGTGATTATTTGCTGATAGAAGCAGATGCTACAGGATAGCAAATGGATGAGTGACAATCCTTAGTAAGCAGCCAGTAAAGGAACTTTCCAGCAGCAACAGACACCTCTTCATAAGAACTGCTACCTGATGCAGACACCTGGAAGCATCTAGCCCTATGAAGATTAATTCAGAGGCTGTTTTCTGAGACTTTCTTCAAATATTCTAATAATTTAGTAATTTCCCTCCCTTGCTGCCACCAATCAATATATCAGAAAATGCAAAACTTGATAGTCCTGCAGGACAAAGTGGCACTTTCAGATATGGTGTGCTACAACCAACACACCACCCAAGAGAGATGTGACTGCAGAGATTTTACAGTAGGGGAACAAATAGGCTCAGCTGATTGGTGCTGTACCCTGGAAACTATTGTGGCTGATATAGTGAGCAGCTAAAATGTCTGTGCTGCTGGTCCTTTGATTAAACCAGGCAGACCTGGCTACATTCAGGCCTATCATTAGCACCTGGTACCCTTGGGCACCTGCCAGGACCCCAGCACACTGGCAGGGACCACCGGTGCTGACAGCTGCCCTGGACTTCCATGCACATATTTTTACCAGTGGCAGCAAAAGCCCAATTATCCATTCATTCATCTCATTTAAAGCCTACATTTCTACCAAAATTGTGTTAAAGATGGTTAACAATGGTGATGTAAAAAATTAGAACATAGCAAAAACAACAAAATCAAAAAACCCATTGATAGAAACAGAATCATAAAAGAAAAAAGCAGTATCCAATCATCAAAAGCCCGTTTGGTAATAGAGAACAGTTCTCCCTAAATTGGAGAGAGAGAAAGAGAGAGAGAGAGCCTAATCTTCCCTAGCCAGGAAACTAAAAGCCAGATAGCGTTGGTCAAGATGGACCTTTCTTGTGTCCCTACTAGCAGTGGGACTGAAAGAAAAGTCTTCCCCAAAGATTTGAAAACCTAAGCAGACTCATATAGAAAAAAAAAGGTTTTTCAGGTAGCTTGGTCCCAACCAAATACAGGTTTATAGGTCATAATGATCACTGTGAACTGTGCTTGGAAGAAGATGAGTAACCACTGCAGCTGTTCAAACAAGAGCTTCCTGTAGTGAGCCCCTACACAGCATTCTGGCCCAGCTGAAGATTCTGAAAGCTCTTCAGAGGTGGACAAACATTGAATTGAATAAGCACGCTACAGGAGTCCAAAATAGTAATGGCCCCCATAAGATAATTTGCTGACAGCCTTCTCAAGGGCCTTGTAGATGGTCCTGTCTGCAGATTTTTTTCTGCACCTTATCAATGGCTCTCTTTTCAGTTTGCTGTAAAATAAGTCACTTAGTTTTAGGGTGCCTGTTTCTGCTTGTGGAGCTGTTTTCCACACATCACTGCCACAGCTTTTTATTAAAATCTTGTATTTAGCATTAAATTGGATTCTCATAATCAGTGTCTCCTGTCTGTGCTTTAAAAACTGTGATAAAATGCTCAGCTGCTAGAAGCATCTTGGCTGTCTTTGACTTTTCATTAAT